ATTTGGAGTTATCAGGAAAACAGGAGTAAGGCATGACCACTATAGGGAGAGAGCCTATTGGAGCAGGACTCCAGAACCCCCCAAATGGTATGAAGCATATCTGGACCCAGACCCTTCAGGGTCTGCCCTTCTCCTGAGGGATAGTAAATAGGATCCATTATTCATTTTTTTTGAGACAGGGTCTTGCTATGTAGCTCAGGGTGGCCTTGAACTCACTATGTAGCCCAGATTGGCCTCGAACTCACAGCAACCCTCCTACCTCAGCCTCCTGAGTGCTGGAATTATAGGTGTGTGCCACCACATCTGATGCATTTCTTTACTTTTTAAGTAAAAATGAAAAAAAAAAATCTGGAAAAAGACCAAGTAGAACTGTAGAAAAGAAAAATTTTGTAATTGAAACTCAAAGACTGGATTAACAGGGCAATCAGTGTTAGAGAACTGTGCAGAACATAGCACAGTTAGACAAAGAGCTCCTGAAGAAGTGACAAGAGAAAATGGTAGAAACAAAATATTTTTAAAAAGTACTGAGAATTGATCAAAGTTGACGGGGGTATCCCATGGTTCAGAAGTGCTAGTGAAGAACCAGAAGATGAGGCAGTGTATGTGAAGACACAGGGTGACGTTTGATATTTCATGCTACCAAAACCAAAGAGAAGCTCTTCAAAGCAAACAGGAGAAGTTACTAAGAATAATGATTTGACTGACAGCAATAATAGAAGCAAAAGACAGCGAAATGCTGTCTTCAGTGTTCTCAGCAAAAATAGTGCTGTCACTAACTATGTTTGCTATCAGAAGGCCCTTAATTTGGAAAATTGTGAAAGGATGCACTTAGGACCAAAGGTAAATCATAAAAGAAATTATAATGGAAATTAGGCAGTTTTAAAGCAATAAGTTATAGTGCCACATATAAAAATTTATGAAATTTTAATGAACAGGTATGTAGAAAAAAATTTGTCATCCTAAATGCTTACATTAGAAAAGAAAATATTTTTTAAAATGTGATATTTATACAGATTAGAGTACTACTTTGCCATAAAGAAGACATACTTCAATCTTTTGTGGGAAAATGGATGCACCTTAAGACTGCAATGTTAAGTAATTCAGACACAAAAGTTGAAATATTGCATGGTTTCTCATATGAAAAACCTCATATGTATAAAGTATGAAATAAAAGACAAATAATAGGAAAAAATAGAGAAAAAAAGGTATTGTAATCGAGTGTGGACAATATCTAAAAGTGTACCTTTGTCTTACATGTTTCATATGTTGGCCCATTAGCCTGGTTTTCAATCTGTATATATGATAATTAACTTTATAAGGTTTTATAAAATGAATAAATGAATCTGATGCTGGAAAAATAAAAGAGGGGTAAGGAAAAAAATGGAAATGTATTGTGTATATGTACCAAGTTCCTGTAGTGTATGTAATCATTATGTATGCAAATATGTGCTAATAAAAGTAAAAAAAAAGGAAAAGCTAGAAGCTGGGCATGGTGGCACACACCTGTAATCCAGCGCTGAGGCAGGAAGATAGTAAGTTTGAGCCCAGCATGGGCAACTTAGCAAAGTAGTGACAGCCTCTCAAAATGGCAGATGGAGCAGGGATGTAGCTCATTGTGAAGGCTATGGGTTCAAACTCCAGGATGAAAAAATAAAGAAAGGAAGGAAGGAAGGAAGGAAGGAAAGAAGGAAGGAAGGAAGGAAGCAAGCTAGCTAGAAACAAATGAGTAAGCAACCAACTCAAGGTAGGAAACGAATGACAAGACAAGCTCAAGAACATAGATGGAAAGAGATTGATGAGACAAAGGGAGCATATAATATGGAAGCTTAAAGAAGTGAAAAAGTTGAGTTTTTGAAAAGAGCAGTACAACTGACACATGCCAAGTGAGATTAATGTAGGAAAGCTATGATGATACAAACACCCCAAGTACTGGAAAAAGATGAATACGCATGCAGACAGTAAGATGATCATAAGTGGATAGGAAAACTGTCATACCAGTAAATTTGAGCATTTAGACAAAATGAACAAGTACCCGGAAAAATGTCATTTATCAGAGTTGACTTAAGAATTAATCTGAATAGTTTTATTACAAAGAAATTGAATTATTACCAACAAATCTTATTTAAAGAAAATTCCAGGTCAGGTGGCAAGTTTTTACCTGATATTTGAGAAAATTTTCAAATCTCTTTTGTGGGTTTTTTTTTTGAGACAGGGTCTTGCTATATATCTCAGGCTGGACTTGAACTCACTGTGTAGCTCAGGCTGGCCTTGAACTTGCAATGATCCTCCTGCCTCAGCCTCTTGAGTGCTGGGATTACAGGTGTCTGCCACCATGCCCAGCTAAAATTTCCAATCTTGTACAACCTATTCCAAAATAGAAATAAGAGGAATACTTTCTAGCTGAGAGAAGCAAAAGTGAAGGCCATTTGAGAAAGGAAAACCATGATTGTCAGTATTGCTCAATATCTATATATATCTATATATCTATATCTATATAGATATATAGATATATAGTTGTAAGAATCATAAACAAAATACAAGTTAACTAAATCCAGCAGATTCAAATTTTTGCCAAGTTGTGACTATCACAGGTCTGCAAGGATGCTTTAATGTTATAAAACGCAAAATGTAATTTACTATATTAACTAATTACAAGAAAAAAAATCATACCATCATCTCAGTGGATAGAGTTGTAGGTTTCATTAAAATTCAGCACCAAATTATCCTGAAAAAAAAATCTCAAAATAAGAATAAATGGGAAATTTCACAGTCTGTTAGAGGATACCTACAATAAACCAAAGTAAATATCATAGTTTATGGTGAACTAGTAAATGTTTCCTTTTGAGATCAAGAGAAGACGAACGTTTCCATTATCACCATTTGAATTCAACTTTATAGTAGATGTTCTAGATAGGTAAATGGGACCAGAAAAAACATGGTAAAGGCACTAAAAGAAGAAATTTATGATGTATTTTTGACTCTCCCATCCACTTAGAGTTTAATGAAGAAAATAAGCAGTACCAACTCATAAAAGATTTAGAATGAACAACGGGCGCAAACCTGTGACACTACTTGCTTAGTTGTAAGAAACTGAGGCAGGATTCCATTTTGGATGGTCTCAGTCTTTCACCTCACTTTTTCTTCATATTTGGGGCAGTTTCTAATGAACCCAATAAATAGTGTTTGTAGTTGACATAGTTTTATCCAGAAGTACATTCATAAATAGGCCCACACATTTTTTTTCAAAAATTGAGCATTTTTCTTTTAAAAATTAAATAATAGTTAAAAAAGGTTATGATCAGACCCAAATCTAGATGTAGGTCTTGTAAGTCTTCTAGCAATTCTCCAGGTAGCAAGCAGAGATAGTCACAGAGTTCACCTTTAGTTCATCTCTCTACTGTCTTTGTTCCCTGATTTTTCTGGTGTTCTGAAACCGTTTTGTATATGTTTTGTTCTGGTATCTTGAAAACTGTTGTTTTAATATGTTTTTCTATTCATTTTTGTTTGTTTTAAATGGGTGAGTAAATTGCATCTATACTGCTCCATCTTGGCTGGAGGCAGATGTCCATTTAATTACATGGCTCATCATTTTCTTGAATAGTCTTTTGTTAATAAAAGGTTGTTTTAAAGAGTACAGTTGTTTGGCCTTTCCCTTAGAAGCATGCTCAGATTTTGCTTTTGTGTTTTATTTTGTTTTTAAAGTAACTGGTAACTTAAAGGCTCAATCTGTAAGGACCTCTAGAGTAGGAGCCCAGCAATGAATAATTCCTGAAGCATTTCAGCATTCTCTTCTGTTACATAGTTTGTTATTGATGGCTGTTGAACTTATGGAGTTTTGACCCACTGATGTATTTCATAGATGTTAATGAAAGACAGACTGAGAAAATCATGGCCAGGCCCATATGGTTATGTTATATCTACGTGCTGGCTCAGAGTTAACATCTCTGTGGCATTACTTGGAGTTACATTTGTGGAAAGCACTAAATTCCATCTTCCAGCTTGTGTAATCCAGGGCAGGCCATTAATGATTTCCAAAACTTTCCTGTTCTTGGTACCTTGTTATTATTTATTTTTTAAGGCGCAGAAAATTGTCCAAATATTAGCACATATATTACAGATTTTTGAATAGACTACAAAAGACATGGTGTTTTTCTAAGAGAGTTTATAAAGAATGTGGTTTAACTTGGCAGGGTGTAATCCCATTTCTTGTGTGTGATTATGGATTGTATTTATACTTCCATACCAGCTGTTTATTTTTATTGTTAAACTATAATTCAGATGTTCTTGGCTTAACTCAGATATTCTCTGTATCTCACAAAATTAAAAAAATGTTAGATGCAACTTTCCTTCAAAAGATCCTTCAAATGTGGCCACGCTGTTTTAGAAACAGGAGTTAGTTATCCCTAACAATAATGACCAGGGAGAAAACAGAAATTGAGATCTTGGAAATAAATAGATCCTTTCAGTCCCTCACTTTTGGCCTCCTCTAATGCTGGCAGACCCATTTGTAGGAGTACACAAAGGCCCCCAGAGCTGCTGCCTTTGCGTTGGGGCACCTTCCTTTCCTTTTAGCAGCCTGTGCACTGAGCTGATGCGCAGTAATGCTGAGAGCCAGGAACAAGAAGAGAGAAAGCAGAGAAGACTCTGACTTTTGACTTAGATTATTTGAAACTAAATAATTAACGTCAAAATAATGGGGAATTGACTGCCTTTCTTATACTGAGTTCTACTCTTTTGATCAAAAGATGTCTTTTCTTACTATTTTACTTTGTCTTAATCACAGCAGCCTATGTAAATATTTGATGTTCAGGTAGGATGAACATGAAACAGGGATTAGAAAGAACATATGCTTTAAAAAAAGAAGCCTTCAGAAAGAGTTGAAAACTCAAACATGTTAAATGCAATCCCCATTGCTGTTCCTACTTGAGTACAGAGTTTCACTCTTGTTTTGTGTCCTTTTCTGGGGGATAGTCCTTAACATTGTGTGTTTTTCTTTTCAGCTACTAAGTCAGGACTGTTACCTCCACCACCTGCACTTCCTCCGAGACCTTGCCCGTCACAGGTAGGAGACAGATTGGATTTCTGTCTGCTGTTTGGTAGGCTAGCCGTGTCACCACTGTACTCCTTTGCAAGGGTTGATCGCCACAAATCTGGTCTGTCAGATTCTCAGATAATATCTGGATGAAGAAAGCAGAGCGTGGTTTAGTTTCTTTTCATCCAGCCAGTCTCTCAGCCTCATGGAAGAAAGCTTCATCAGTAAGTACCAAACAAACATGTACTAGCTGATTCTGAACTACTGTTCTACTGCTCCATGTGGTTTTCTTCTTCTTTTCCTTTTCTTTTTTTATTTTTTATTTTTATTTTTGTACCGAGGATTTAACTCAGGACCTTGTGCTTGCAAGGCAGGCGGCGGTTCTTTTTCTTTTTGACAGTACTGGGGATTGAATCCATGGTGTTCACACTGAGCTGAATCTCAGCCACCTCACCCCCAACTCCTTTTACTTTGAGACAGAATCTTTCTAAGTTACCGAGGCTGGGCTGGAACTTGCATTCCTTCTACCCCAACCTCTCAGAGTGCTGGGATTAGAAGTGTTTGCCATTGCACCTGGCTATATGTGGTTTTCATACAGAGAGGAACAGCAAAGGTGTCTGTCCAGTTGGGATGGGGGACATGGTTGTTGTATATAGTACATGCAGTCTGAGTGACTATATTTTCACTAGCATTTTAGGAGCTGTGTTCATTCCATATACACTAAATGGTCCTCAACATGGGTATAGTGCTGTGGTTTGGGCCCATGGTGCTTTCTTTAGGGTGGTGTTTGTTCTCCAAATGATAAGTTGAAACAGCAGGAGTGGGAGAGTGTGTCGCCAAAATCTGTTTCACCTGTAAACTAATTTTGTCTTATTTCCATGTGCTACTATGGCCTTATTCATCAACATTTTCGTGCTGTTGAAAGTGAGAAGCAGCAAATGTGTGGTATAAAGTGCTACAGATCTTTCCTTTCCTTAATTGCTACTGAAGAAATTTTCTGTCTTTAAAGACTCTTTCTAACTTTGGCAGAAAATGTGGGGGAAACTACAGACAGTTGCAATGTCTGCATCATTACTTTGAGTGGTTCAGAGCAATACTTTTCCATGTGGTTCATCTCAGGGGTGAGTCACTGAAGCCACTTTTAGTGTTTGCTTGTCCTTCTGTCAGACAATTCAAGGGTCTTTGGCATCCACTCAACCATGTGATGCAGATACCATGAGGTACGGCTTCCTGCTTTGGTTTGGAGGGTACTAAACAGCTCTGTTCTTCTTGACTTGCATATATACAAGTGAGAACTCCTTTTCCAGAATCCAGCACTGGCCTTAAGAGATACTGACCTGTTAACAAGTAATTATTGAGTCCCTTCTGTTTATGCCAAACCTTAGTTCTACCCTGAGCCTTTCCTTGGTTGTAGTTTCTGATCTTTCAAGATTATAAGTTGTACATCTACAGTACACTGGGCATTCTGCTTAGTCCTTTCCATGCATAATTTAATCTTCACAAAACTTGATGAAGTAGGTATTAATATTATCCATTTCTTACAAAGAGGACAATTGGAGCATATAGGGGTTAAGCAGGTCACCAAAATGGCATAGCTAGTAAATAGTAGGACCAAGTTTCACAACTATAGTCTTTAGGCTTCTCTCCCCATCACTGGAGTCTTAAGTGTCAGTATCTGCAGCAGTAGAAAAGATCCACTGCACTTCTAACTGAGACATTTACCATGTGACAGGACCTAGATCAGTGGTGGCATGCATGTAATATGTTTTTAAGACAAAAGATGCCAATGTATGAGTTATTTTTTTCTAAACGAAAACCTCAGTATTCAGGTTTAATTGCAGTGTTGGCACTTTGCAATAAATCAGTGGGCTTTGGGTTGCAATTTGGGCACTGCTGTCTGAAAGGTTTGCCATTACTGACCTAGATAGACCTAGATGAATTGAGGCTTCTGGTACTTGGCCTTGATCATAACAAAATTAGCCGGCATTGGGGGTGCTTATCTGCCAGCCGCTAGTTTCAAGCCTTGGCTTGCAAGCCACCTGGATAAATGTGTGGAAGACCTGTCCCAAAGGGCTTTTGTAACCAACCTCCTTATTTTTACCCCTGTTACACAACAGTAGGTACTTCCTGCTCTGAAATGTGCTGCTGCTATTGGTGGTCCTCATCTTAGCTGCTTGAGGTGGGCTTCCTGCCTGCTTTGGGGCTAAGTGACTGAGGATCTGACCTGGAGACTGGGAATTCTCAAGTCACTGCTAATGAATGAATCTGCCTCTTTGTCTACCAGATTTCCTAGCACAATGTAAACATTGAGTCCAGCACTCAGCCCAAACCTCCATCTCAGCTGCTTAACTATGGAGATTTCAGACTACAGGAACAGGTGTGTAGGAAATGTAGGCAGAAGATGCTAGACCCTTTTTCTCCTCTTATTTTTCCCTTTTGTCTGCTTTAACTGGGGCACATATATGAAGTCCTGGGTAGTAAATGTGTGGTTATGTTTAGTCTCTGAGCCATGGAAAATTCCTATTATTGACTCTAGGAGAATTTTACCAACACTATAGTCTTTCCCAAACTTCTCGTGATAAAACAGTCTCTGGGAGATATTAATAGGTCCCGAGGGTTGGAAAAATTTGTGGGCCACTGGTCTTTACTCTCTCAGAGAGATTCATAGCTCATATGAACCCACTAAAGGCTGACCTACAGAGAAAAACAAGAGGAAACCTGGTCAGTATTGTTAAGCCTGGAAATTTTGTAGGTTGTTTTTATTTATAAAATACCTACTAATATCCCGAGGGCTTAGTGGTTTGGAAACACTATTAGAACACAGCCTTAAGGTGTTGCTAAGAATGTTCTAAATCAGTCTCACCTATCATGTGATTTCTACATTTATGCGATTAAAGTTAAATTTTATCTTATACTAATAGTTTTCTCTGAAAAAGTTGAAAATGAAAATTTACAGTACATTAGCTTGAGGTTTCAAATTGTCCCATTTCCTTCCTTGCTTTTCTGTTCCTTCTTGCTTATTCTCTCATGATGTCACTTCTACCACCTCACAGCAAATTTGATTACAGAGCACTTCCACACTCTGATTTTTCTTTTGCTCTGTTAATTTAAAAAATATTCCTTGCTGTAAGTGGACCATCACCCCAACTTTTGAATATACCTGTGTCTGTGTCTACAGAGACATCTTTAATGGGGCTTAGATTGCAGTATCATCACCAGGAGACTTACGGAGAAACCAGGAAGTCTGGGGCAATTAAAGTCATTACAATTATTAGTAGATCTGGAAGAGATTAAAATCAAGTGTATGGATTATTTTTGGATTTAAACGTTTCATGTTATTTATCTTGATAAATGGGAAAGATGAGCTTGTAATAAACAGAAAATGTTCCTTACAGAGGAATACTATTTAAAAAACTATATGGCCAGTCAATAGTGATATGTTTTCAAGTTCTAAGTGTGTCAGATAAATGAGCTTGTACATAAGCGTATGTATTTACATACAATGAAAGTGTGTTTAATTTTATCAAGTGAGAAAGATGAGATATAGATTTTCAGCAGAGAATGGATTTTAACTGGCTCCTCCTTAACTAAGCACTGCTGTGATATGAACATCTGGATTAAGTTATAATGGGGCCCCAACATTAGGAAAAACAATGAATTTTAAAAACCATATCTTTTGTTTTGATATTTTAGGTAAGTTAAAGAAGAACTAAATGAATATATAAAAAAACCAAATGATTCAGATTCCATATTTTCCTGTGGAAAGACTAGCAACCAGGCTGTGATCTTTTGACTCAGGTCAGAAGAGGTGATTCTTTAAAAAATATTGATTCATTACATAAAAAACCAAAAAGTAATTAGAGCAAACTGTTTCAAATGGAGCAGTGTTAAAGTGAGAATTAAACTTATTAGTTCACTGTGTGCTTATAAATTGAGTAAAATGCCATCTACAGAGTTTGTGCTTGTTTTATAAATCAGTTCTCTACCAAGGGACTCTTTGGTACTTCCACAGCCAACTTCCTGTAATAGCATGGATCTCATGCCAGATTTCTGTAGCACTTGTGACAGAGCCATGGCATTAGTGTAAGTGATTTTTAATAAAGAAAATAATTTGGGGTTATAAAGTATTATCTTTTATGTTTTCTATTAGCACCACCTTTGATGAAATGGGGGGCTTTTCCTATTTGTAGCACTAGTCCTTCACCTTGTCACAGCAGATGCTCCTCACTGGTGATGTTATGAGCACTTCAGTAGTACAAGACAGTGAAAGCGCGGTGGAAGAAGCATTATTATATTATTATTATTATAGCTTTAAGCTTAGAGAGACCAAGGAGGTTCATGAAATGGGTGAGATGCCCAGTGAAATGAGACAAACAAAATTCCTTTCTTTTTAGACGGCTGAGGGATACAGAGCTTCACTGCACAATGCAAACCAAAGACAAGGAAACAGACATGTGAGAGGTGGTGCGTTTGTGACACTACTAGAGATTTGGAAAGCCAGATTTCGGGGGAAGAGAGGGGTCCTGAAGGGGCCTTGGAAAAACAAGGTGTCTCCTCATCTCTACACCCGACGGTGCCAGAGCTATGCGAGAGAAATAGTCCCCCAAGGGAGTTCTCTCTGGGGTACAGCCTGGTTGCACCTAGTTAGGCTAGCTGTTCTCACTCTAGGCTGCCCAGTGGAATCACGAGGGAACTTTAAACCTGCGGAGCCCAGAAATTTGGAGATGAGTTGGTGAGGCCTGGTCATTGGGAATTTTAAAAACTTGCCTAGATGCTTGTAAAGTGCAGCCAGAGTTGAGAAGTACTGAATTAAGGCAGGAGGAAAGAATGTTGAGAAAAGAGGTTGAGAATATCAGGGATTTTGTTGCGCTATGTTCTTACTGGGCCTAATGGGAACGGGCGAGAAGCAGGTCAGCTTACGGGGGTATCCAGATTCTGTGGGGCCGAGAACCCAGACCACGAGGAATTGTGTGATTGATGTGAACAGAGACAGAAGGCCTGATAGGAGGCTCCTGCATGAAGGACCAGTC